GCACCCCCAGCCAGGGAGAGCAGGAAAGGGGCCCTGAAGATGCCCAAGCTCCTCCGCAGCGGGGCAGAGGCGGCTGCAGCCTCCCCGAGCCAGGAATATCCCTGGAAAAGCTGCTGGGAACAGCCCAGGTCGCTGCTTTGGTTATTTATAAAACTTAACTGATCTTTTCATAGCCCAGGGGATGGCAGTAGGGGCTAAACGGCTCCGAGCTCTTCGTGGTTTTGTCATCGCTTGTGATTTCAGGCCAGAATTTGCATTTCCTGCTGGGCTGCCCAGTGAAAGGGAGGTGTGGCCGCAGCAGGGACAGTTTTGGGCCTCTGTCCCTCCCATGGCCACGTTTCACCCTCCTGATTTCCCCTTTTCGCTGCGTCAGCCCCGGGTGAAGCCGCTCTCCCTTCACTCTGCTCTCATTTCTCTCATTTCCACTTCTCTCGCCGGGGTTTTTATTCTCAGACGAGTGACGCGATGTCCTAATTGGAATGTTCCTTGGCTCGCCTCAAGGAGGCTTGATTGATTTCCACAGCTGCTTCTGGGCTTTCGGAACGAGGTCATGCCAGAAGGAGGAAGCCAGGTGCTACTTCCATTTGTTTATTTTCTTTTTTAAATAAACAGCCTCTGAGGCTTGGCTTTAAAAGGAGCACAGGGGTCAAACGTGGAATTTTCATGGTCAAAGAGAGCCAGAGTGGGAAAGGGAAAAGGAAAAATCAGGTTCCACAGAAGGGGTGTGGAGGAGGAGAAGCTGTTCCATTCCTGAGGGACCTGCAGGTGAGAGATCTCTCTGCATTCACCGGGGGGTGACAGTCCCCAGCCTGAGCAGCACAAGGGGGCTCCTTGGGTTTGTCCCCTGGGAATGGGCACCAAATCTGTGGGTTCAATGGCTCCTGGCCCAGTTTGCCTCACGGGCAGGCGTGGTCAGAGCCCCTGAGACCCCTCATGGTGACCGTGCTGTCACCACCCCTCCTGCAGGGCCCCTGGGGTCACACGGAACCCTCTGAGACCTCTGGCGGATGGGGCTCAGTCCCAGGGGGTGTTCCTGGGTTGGTTCCCGTTGCAGGTGGGTGATCCCAGGTTGGTTCCCGTTGCAGGTGGGTGATCCCAGGTTCCCATCCCACTGGGTATTTCTGGGTTCCCATCTCAGCTGGGTGTTCCAGG